TTTTAAAAAATAAATAAATGTATATGCACCTAAAAAAAAGGGCACCAAAATGCATAAAGCAAAAAGTGATATAAGTGGAAAAAGAGACAACTCAACAATATAAGTTGGAGACCTCAGTACTCTACTTTCAATAACAGAACTAAGAAGATCAACAAGGAAATAGGGCAGTCAATACTATAAAGCAGCTGGACTTCACAGACATCTAGAGAACACTCCACCCAACAACAGCAGAATACACATGCTTCTCAAGGCACATAGAACATTCTCCAGGATAAATCAAATGCTAAAACAAACCTCCATAAATTAACAGGATAGAAAAAATACAAAAATATGTTCTCTGACCACAGTGGGTTAGAAATCAATAACAGAGAAATTTGGGGAGCCACAAATATGTGGAAATTAAAAATACATTCCTAAATAACCAATGTATTGAAGAAGAAAGCAAAAGGGAAATTAGAAAATAGTTCAAGATGAATAAAAATAAAGATAAAACATACCAGAAGTTTTTGCCACATTATTGGGATGCAGCAAAAGTGGTGCTTAGAGGGAAATTTATAGCCATAAATGTCTGTATTTAAAGAGAAGATCTTAAATCAACAACCTAACCTGCCATTTAAAACACTGAAAAAAGAACAGCAAACTGAATAAAGCAAGCAAAAGGAAGGAAAACTAAAGGTTATAGTAGAAATTAATGAAGAAGAGAATAGAAAAACAATAGAGAAAATCCAAGAAAACCAAGAGCTGCTTCCTTAAAGAGATCAGCAAAAACTGACAAGCTTTTACTTAGACTGTCCAAGAGAAAAAGAAGACTCACATCACTAGAATCAGAAATAAAAGAGGGGAACATTATTACCAACCTTACAGAAATAAAAGAATTAAAAAGAATACCATGAACAATTGTATCCCAATAAATTAGATAAATGAAATGGACAAATTTTTGGAAAGACACAAACTACCAAAAGACTCAAAAAGAAATTGACAATGTGTGGGGCGCCTGGGTGGCTCAGTTGGTTAAGCGACTGCCTTCGGCTCAGGTCATGATCCTGGAGTCCCGGGATCGAGTCCCACATCGGGCTTCCTGCTCGGCAGGGAGTCTGCTTCTCCCTCTGACCCTCTTCCCTCTCATGCTCTCTATCTCTCATTCTCTCTCTCTCAAATAAATAAATAAAATCTTAAAAAAAAAAAAGAAATTGACAATGTGAATAGGCCTATAAAAAATAGACTGAATTAATAATAGGGGGGAGAAAATTCATGAAGAAAAGCCCAGATAGCTTCACTAGTGAGTTACCAAACATTTAAAGAAGAATTAATGCCAGTCCTTCACAAGTTCTTCCAAAAAATAGAAGAGAAGGAATATTTCCCAACTTAATTCTGTGAGGCCAGTATCTTCCTGACACCAAAACCAGACAAATACATTACAAGAAAAGAAAACTACAGGCTAATATTTCTTAGGAATATGAATGCAGAATTCCTCAAAAAATACCAGGAAACTGAACCCAGTAGTATATATAAAAAAACTAAACACCATGACCAAGTGGGATTTATCCCAGGAATGCAAGGTTGGCTTAACCTCAGAGTTGGCGGCAAGTTCTTAGATATGACACCAAAACCACAAGTAACAAAAGAAAAAATCAATTAGACTTCATCAAAATTAAAAACTTTTGTGCTTCAAAGGACACCATTAATAAAGACGCGAGTGCCTGGCTAGCTCATTTGGTAGAGTGTGTGATTCTTGATCTCGGGATCATGAGTTCGAGCCCTGTGTTGAGTGTGGAGCCTACTTAAATTAAAAAAAAAAAAAACTTTTGCAAAGGGGGTGCCTGGGTGGCTTAGTTGGTTAAGTGTCTCCCTTTGGCTCAGGTCATGATCCTGGGGTCCTGGGATTGAGCCCCACATTGGGCTCCTTGCTCAGCGGGGAGTCTGCTTCTCCCTGTCCCTCTGCCTGCTACTCCACCTGCTTGTGCTCTCTCTCTGTCAAATAAATAAATAAAATCTTTAAAAATAATAATAACAAAGTGGAAAGACAACCTACAAGATGGGAGAAAATATTTGCATATTATGTATCTGATAATGGATTAGTCTCTAGAATATGTAAAGAAATCTTACAAATAACCCAGTTAAAAATGGACAGACTATTTGAATAGACATTTCTCCAAAGAAGATATACAAATGGCCAATAAATGCATGAAAAAGTACCTGACATCAGTATTCATCAGGGATATGCAAATCAAAACCACAATGACATACTATTTCACACCTGCCAGGATGGCTATAATCAAAAAGTCAGATAATAACAAGTGTTGGCAGGGATGTGGTGAAACCAGAGCCTTCATACACTGCTGGTAGGAATGTCAAATGATGCAGCCACTTTGGAAAACAGTCAGGTAGTTCCTCAGAAATTTAAACATAGAGTTATCCTATGATCCAGCAACCTCACTTCTAGAGAGATGAAAACACATATCCCAAGAGAGATGAAAACATATATCCATATAAAAACTTGAACATAAACATTTTAGCAGCATTACTTATAATAGTCAAAAGGTGAAAACAACCCAAATGAAAAGAGAAACATGCAGGGGTGCCTGGGTGGTGCTGTCGGTTGAGCATCCGACTCTTGGTTTCGGCTCAGGTCATGATCTAAGGGTTGTGAGATCAAGCCCCGCATTGAGCTCCACGCTCAGTGGGGAGTCTGCTTAAGTTTCTCTCTCCCTCTCCCTCTGCCCCTTCCTGCACACTCTCTTTCTCTTTCTCTCAAATAAATAAATCTTAAAAAAGGGAAATATGCAAATAAGCTGATGAATGGATAAATAAAATACAGTATACCCATACAATGGAATATTATCTAGCTCTAAAAAGCACTGAGTACTGACACATGCTATAACATGGGCAAATCTTGAAAACATTATGCTATGAAAGAAGCCAGTCACAAAAGACAGTATATTTTATGATCCCATTTATATCATTCCATTATGTGAATCCAGGATATTATATGATTCCATTTATAAATCAATAGAGACAGAAAGTAGATTAATGGTTGCTTAGGGCTGGTGGAAATGAGAGAATGTGGGTGGTGATAGCTAAAGAGTACAGAGTTTCTTTGTGACAGGATGAAAACGGTCTAAAATGGACTGTGGTAATTGCTGCTTGTTTTCGTGAATATACTAAAAACCCTTGAAGTATACATTTCGGACAGGAGAACTGTATGGTATATGAATTCTGTATCAGTAAAACTATTATAAAAAGTAATCTAAAATAATGGCAGTTATGTGCCAAGAGGAAAACTGGGACTTTGGAGTCCAACAGTCTATGTAATCCAGGTCCTCCAAGAAGGAGGCACCACATGGGGATGGTTTGGAGGAGTCACCCCAGTCTGCCTTGCACCCTATGAAAGGTTTGGCAAGGCTGTCAAGGAGTCCTCCAGCCAAAATCTGCCATCAGAGGAGTTTTGTGTCAAACAGAAATGGATCTGCCTTAGTATCCACTCTGTCGTTGGATGGAGATGCCCATGGGAAGTGTGTCCTCCATGCAATGTGAGGATGGGTTTCAGAGCGCAGCCGAGCAGCCGGTCACCTGAGCTCCCTGTAGCTGGACATCTGTCAGGCACAGTCTCAGTGCCGCCACACAGACTAAGGTTCAAATCCCAGCTCAACAACTTCCTCACCGTAGGACCTTGCTCCAGATACCCTGAGCCACAGTTTTGTCATCTGTAAAATGGGGATAATAGCAGTGCCTACCACACAGGTGTATGCCTATAAACTGCTGAGCACAGAAAAAGCACACACTAAGTGCTCAGTAAGTAGTAGCTGCTCCTAATGTGGTATTTATTACTTCTACCATTTATTATTTCTTTCTAGATTTTATGTACCTCCATTAAAGAGTAAACATCATAGTCTCTGTGTAATGAGTATCTGTTTGTTTTACTTAATATCATACTGTAAGTTTTTTCCAAGTTATCATTTGCTCTCCCTAATATTTTAAAGTCTGCATTATATTCTATAGAGTATGCATACCCTAGTTTACTTAACCATTCTCCTAATCATTAGGGCTTTACAATTTTTTTCGCTGTCATAAAAATTTTTGTGGGCACCTGGGTGGCTCAGTCGGTTGAGTATCTGACTCTTGATTTTGGCTCAGGTCATGATCTCAGGGTCATGAGATCGAGCCCTGTGTTGGGCTCTGCCCTGGGCGTGAACCTGCTTAAGATTCTTTCTTGCCCTCTCCCTCTGCCCCTCCCTCCCCCCAGTATTTGTGATAGATATTTTTATATAGAAACATTTTCCCTCTGTATTGGATATTTCCCTTCAGGGTCCTGATGAGGATTACTAGCGTAAGGAGTGGGAACATTTTTAAGGCTCCTGATCCATGTTATCCAGTTTACCCTCCAGAAAGGTGGAGCTAGTGTATGCCCCAACCCGCAGCATGTGCGAGCACTCACTTCACTGTACCCTACCCAGCCTTGGGGAACCTTCTTATATTTTCAAATATTTGCTTGCTGGAAAGGCAAAAAAAAAAAAAAAAAAATGGCATCTTACTTACTTGTTCCCTGTTACTCATAAGGATGGATCATTTCCCAAATGTTTTTGCACAAGTGATTACTTTGTGAATTGTTCTTCACACGAATTTATTGAGATCTTAATTTTTTCTATCAATTTACACTGTTTAGTAATACTTGCCTGAGACACTTCCCATTATTTGGCCTCTGTTTGTTTTAATGAAGAGGAACCTATTGACATTTCTCTGGTAATTTCTGGTCCCCTTCAAGCTTAGAAAGCCCCTCCTTCCTGGAGAAAGTAAACCGCTCTGCAGATGGTTCAAAGTAAAACCATAGCTGAGCTCCTCAGACGATTTTTTAAAAAATTGTGAGTGAGTGGAGCCCAATCTAATGACCATTTACTGGGATGGACTTCTCATCAATGGGGTTCCTCCTTCTTCCTGTGTCCTAGGCCCCAGGACGCCCACTAGGAGCTGCGGGGCAGGAGCGTCGCAGGTGCAGAGGCGCCATGGAGGGGGAGGCTGCGGGGGCTTCCCCGGACTTCCACTTCTACCCCACGGATCTGTATGACTCCGAAGACCGGCTGCACCTCTTCCCAGAAGAACCCACGAGGACGGGAAGAGAAGTCCACGCCGAAATGGCCGGCGAGCCCGGGGGCGCAGCGCCAGGTAAGGCCCAGAGAGACCTGGAGGAGGATGTGGATGAGCTTGTCCATTTGTCCGCACTCGGAGGTGCTGGCGAGTGGGGCGCCGAGCTCGCCGACGGAAGCGCGGCCCACATGGAGGTTTTGGACCATCGGCTGCACGGGGTGCAGAGGGACTGGCGACTGGGGGCCGAGGCCGAGGCCGAGGCCGAGGCCGAGGCTGGGGACCGTGTCTTTGCGGGCTGGGGCGCCGCGGGCTCCAGCCGGGACCTGCGAGAAGCCTACAGGTACGCGCACGGCCGAGCCAGCGAGGAGTACGAGTGCTACGTCATCCCCGAGGAGGACGAAGACGAAGCCGCCCTGGTCTTCTGCGTCACTTGCAGAGCTCCGGTAAGGGCGGTGGAGGTTTCGGACGAACACAGACAGCATGAGGTGACCCCGCTCAGCAAGGCGCTGGAGAGCGCCAAGGTAAGCAGGTGGCCTCGGTCCGTGCTGTGGATCGTGCGTGCGTGTCTCAAGCAGGCAGGCTGCGAACGAATGTCAAAGGCCTTCTACGGAAGAGAGAAAGCGCTAACGTCTCCTTGCGATCCTCTGTTCGCTAGGATGAAATTCACAAAAACATGTTCAAATTGGAAAAGCAGATTATCCAGATGGAGAATTTTGCAAATCACTTGGAGGAGGTTTTCATCACGGTGGAGGTAAGAGCAGGCATGGTGAACCCGTCCGACGCACACTGCTGCCCCAGGTGGCCGGCTCCGTGGCTGCGGCTGGGGGTGGGAGATTCTGCCCCGACTTACCCCCCTGCTCTCCCAGGGGGCCTCGGGGATGTAGCCCATGGAGCCCGTGACCTGTCTGCGTTCCCTCCTGCACAGAAGCTCTCCTCTGTCTTTCTAGCCTCAGCCCTGCTGCAAGGTGGGGCTCTTTCATGGCCCAGCCTTGACCAGGCATTGCAAGACACCCATCGTTCCTTGTTCGTGTCCCCAGCTGTTATCTGTGTCTCATAAGATCAATACACATCATCTGTGCCTGTCAGTAAACATGTCACAGTCCCCAGTGTGATATCAGCTATATAAGACACCACAGTGGTTGCCAGCACTCAGCCTCACTGTCCAGATCGGGTGCACCAGGACTGAGGATCAGGAGACTCTCCCCCTCTCTTCTCTTCCTGCGAATGCTCTGCTTCTGCTAATAATACAGCCTCGGACTGGGTCCACAGGAGCACCTCATATGAATTAGCTCAGCCCCAGGCCCCTCTCCCATGAAGCTGGAGCTTCTTCACCCCCGGTCTTAAGAGGGAGGAGGACTATGGCACTAACCCCCTCTGCAGGGCACAGAGAAGGCATGAACATAAGGTAGTGGTAGGAGAGAGAAGTGTGCAACCCCCTGGACAGAACTCCCCACACTCACGTTGGCAGCTCACTGGCAGATCAAAGCCAGTCACCCCCCAGGGAGGGCTCTGAGTTTTCCCTCTTACACCAGCACTGGCACCATTGTGAGCAAGCCTTGTGCTCTAGAAGATGCTCGGCAAATACTCTGTGAGTCATTCATAAGGGCCTCTTCTTTGGAAGTGTGTCTGGTGTCTACCGAGGCTGGCATCAGTCAGAACCCACAGAGCCCTCTTGGCCTCCACCCCAAGCGAGAGGACCAGTAGTTGACAGGCTGTGCCCCAGGATTAAGTACGGCTGCAAGCCTCGCTCTGCCCTCCTGCGCTTCCTCACCTACTAGGCCGCACCATCTGGCCACAACCCTTCCTCCCCTTCCCCGTCATCGTTCTCTTAGTTGATGTGAGGGTCTGTGTGATCCTGGTGTTCGTGAGATGCGAGCGTCAGGGAGTGGAGGTGAGTGTCGTGAGATGTTGGGGGCTCAGGAGGGAAAGCTAGTGGGCATATCCCAGGGCAAACATCTCCGTGTTAAGGTCCAAGGATGCGGTGGCAGGCTGACTCCTCACTGACCACCTTCCAAAAATGCAGTGGCCACAGTGGAGGTGGGGCAGCTTGGGGGGGGGGCAGGGGGAGGGGTGCAAGATGCTGCCAGGAGAGAGATTATCCTAGGGGTTCCAGCTGCAGACTCCTGGTCCTAGCTCCCACTGCGCCCACCCCAGCATCCTGGCAAGAGGTAATAAGACCCAGGGGAGGTGACTAAAACATCTCTGGGTGGATACATTTCCATGCCCCCGATGGTTCTCTGGCCAACATACCACATCCACTGTGATGGTGGCTGAGGGCAACTGTCTTACAGGAGAACTTCGGAAGACAAGAACAAAACTTTGAGTCACATTACAACGAGATCTTGGAAACACTCGCTCAAAAGTATGAAGAAAAAATACGAGCTCTAGGGGAGAAAAAGAGAGCAAAGTTGGAAGCCTTGTATGGACAGCTGGTCAGCTGTGGGGAAAACCTCGACACCTGTAAGGAACTCATGGAAACCATAGAGGAGATGTGCCATGAGGAGAAGGTTGACTTCATCAAGGTCAGTCATGAGGTGACGTGAGATCACAAACCCAAGTGACAGTATGGCTGGGCAGGTTAGGGTGTCCCTCTCTGCCTGGAGGTGTTGCTGTTGACCGCTGGGGTCAGCCTCCGTTTGGTTCCTGGATGTTCACGATGGCGAAGAGGTCACCGCACGTCTCTGTGCAGCTTTGCCGTGAGAGGCTGAGCAGACCTGTACACGGCTGACCCCTTCCCTCCACTGTTGCTCAGGACTCCACCAGCCTCAGTTTCTCTCTCCTAGAGACCCGTCCCCTCACCGGGAGCTGAGCAACGTCAGTGCTCTGAGAGTTTTCTCGTCACCTCAGGTGGCCCCATCGAGCCCCAGGGAGGAGGTTGTCTGAGCTAAAAAGGCAGCTCCAACTCTCCAGTCACAAGGGCACCAATTTTAAATCTTTATAAACTCAAACATAAAAAAAAAAATCCATTTTTTAATTTCCTTGAAATCCAGTTAAATCTGACTTCAAGGCCCCATTCCGTCGGGCTGTGGGAATTTCAGTCTCGGTCAGAGGTGGGGTCTCTTTCTTCACAAGATCCCACAGGAATCTGGGCGGTTGTGGTGTCTGGGATGGGAGGGAGGGGCCCTCAGCCACCAGAGCTTCCCAGTTGCCAAATACAGCCTCCACACTGACCCCGGGCCTCCACACTGACCCCCGGGCCCGTGGCGATCCCTCCAAGCCCAGCAGCACTTCCTTCCTGCCCTACTCCTCCGCGGGGCAAGGGACCTGCAACAGAAGCTGGAAAGCAAGTTGGCAGGCTCCGTGAGAGCCCCCAATATGCAGACCTCGTGAACCACTGGTCTCACAGTATCGCTGTATCTCAGAGACGTAATCCCGAATGGGCAGAACGTGGTATGTGCGAAAGCGTTCTCACTGATGTTTCTAATGATGACACCTTAGCAATAGCCGAAACGTCCATTAACAGAGGAATGGCTACATAAACAACGGGGTTCCCCTCCAGTGAACTGTTGTGCAGTCTCAGATTGGCGGAACAGAAGAACATCTATAGCATGGAGCGCTCACGCAGTGCATCCAATTCAGGGCCAGAGCACGGTCCTCGGCGGGGTGGTCTTGTTAGAGTGGGGGCTATGGCTGCTGCCTTTCTTTTTCCTCATTTCCAAGTCTTAAAATGTGTTTGTATCATTATATAGTCCGAAAAAGAAATGTATTTGCAAAATCAGTTTGATATTTTCTCCCTTTCCTCCTCCTCTTTAGGATGCTGTGGCCATGGCTGACAGGTAATACTTTTGTTCTGAAACACGTTTTCTTCTTCTGTTCCTTTTCTGTTCCTCTAATAGACACAGTTCCCCTTGGGTGTATGGTCCCAGTTTCAGGTTTTGTGTCTGCCCCTAAGATCAAATAGCACTGGCTTTGGACGGAAGATGGGGGTCACAAGGATCCGCTAGCACTGACTCTCAGGATCCCAGGGCTGGAAAGGAGCGTGTGGCCAGGCCCAGCCAGCAAGCCTGTGGTCGGGTCTCCTTCGTGAGCCCCTCCTTTCACCAGGAGGGACCAGGATCCAGTGTCCCCAGCATCCCCCAGCTGTGCCAGGACCCAGACTAAGCACTGCAGAAAGTATGCACATCGTGGAGTCAGACAGGAGTTCAAATGCTGCTCCCCCCAGGACCCTGGGCAAGTCCAGCCAGCCTAGGACCCACCTTCCTGATCTGTAGACAAGAACAGTTTTATGGGCATTAAATGAGACAGCATCTGTAAAGCAACATGAATGCTGAAGCTTGATAACATAAGGGTTAAGAGAACAGGTTCTGGCAAAGGACAGCCCTGGTTTTGGATTCTGCCCCTGCCACTCACAAACTCCTGACTGTTGGGAGGCAGGGATGCCCAGAGCCCCCGTCCGCCCTCAGCAGGTTGAGTGCGCTTGGCCCCATGGAGAAGAAGCCCCCCAGTCTGTACATCTTGGAGCCTGGGGGGGCGTGTGGGGATGGGAGCTTCCAGATCAAAACCTGTGCATGCCCCCCAGCTGACCCCCTTCCCTCCTCTCAAATGCACAGATCAGTCCCACCCTTCCCCATTGGAGACCCCCTTGGAGACCCCCTGGGTCAGTCACCAAAGCAGATGGCAGAAGGCAGCCAGCAGCATATTAAAATAAAGAAGTAAAACTTCAGCAAAGAAGTCCCTCTCGTGTATTACTAGTGACCCAGCACAGTAGACACACCCTAAGGAGCATGCCTCTTCATTCTCATTAGCGAATCTTTTTATACCAACAGACTTGGAAGATTCCTGAATACAGAAACAGACGTGGAGATCTCTACACAGCCTGACTTTGAAGACCAGACTCTGGACTTCTCTGATGTGGAGCAGCTCATGGGCTCCATTAACACCATCCCAGGTGCGTATTTCACCTGTGTGCGCACTTCCCACAAAGTTCCAGTTTCCTGAGCTTTGAGTTAGACTTTTTTTTTTTAATTTTTTATTGTTATGTTAATCAAGACTTAGACATTTTGATGGCTAAGAAAATCATAAAGATTTAGAAATAAGTATTCTTTCATTCTAATTTCATGTCTTTATGGCTCGTAAGGGGGAGAACAGTGGCTTACCTCCCCCGGGGTAGGTGCCTACCTCACTTTCCAGGGAGCCAACATCAGGCCCCCGGCAGCCTTGAAATACTTTTTGTTTATAGCTTGCCCAGATTCACAAACACCTGTTCACCTGCCTGAGTTACTCCAAGTAAGTAGCCCGAATTTTATTTACTTGACTAGCACAGTGGCTAGGAGATGAGCTTTGAGATCCTGTGGAGCTGGTGAGAATCCCAGGCCTGCCACTTCCTAGCTGTTTGACTCTGGACAACTTAACTACCTTCTCTGAGTCTTTCCTTGTCTGCAAAGTGGATGTAATAATGCCTCCTGGGGATATGGTGACAATCATATGAGGTGATATATGTATAGTATGTCACATGGTACCAGATAGCTCTTAAAAATATTATTGTGATTACTGATTTCTAAGAATAATATTGTAATTCAGCTTTTTTTTTTTTGACTGCTCACCTTCTCTTTCTCACCAATCCCCAACTACATTGTAAAAATGTTGTATATATCATTTTAGGTTTTTCCTTTACACAGATATTTTGAAATAAGAAGGGAATTATTTTCTGTTGTAACCTGCTTTTTTATCAAAACAATTATGATTAATATTTTCTTGCACTGATAAGTTCGTCTATAATGTCATTTTAATGAGTATATACCTTGATTTCTTTACTTAATCTTCAGCTGGATTGGATGCTGGGATGTTTCTAGTTTTTCCCCATTAGAAACCACACTGTAATGGACATCCTTAATTATAAATCTTGGAGGCCATTCTTAGACTCATGGCTCGAGGGGTGATTTCACTGAGCTATGATGTCCATTGGATGATCCTTTCCCCTTCTAGGGATGGTGCTGCCCAAATAATCAGTCCCCAGCATTTGGAAAGAAAAGCACTATCACCCAAGTCAGTGCTTGAGACGCATGGACACCTCACCCCCCTGAGTCCAGGTCCTGTGCAGACCACCCCCTCCTGCCCACATCTGCAGCCTCCTGAGCGGGTTCCCAACCCCCAGGCCATCTCCTCACTGCATCTCCTGCTCTTCTTGCTGTGGGGCTGTTCCTTGCAGGGTATAGAAGGACACCCGCTGTCCCTCCCAGACTTTGTCAGTTGGGGATACGGGGGTCTTTCTCTTCCTCCCCTCCTTTGTCATGTCAGGACCTCCCGGGCCCTGGCCAGAGGGGAGGCTGAGCTGTGGCTAAGTAAACTCCTGGGAGTTTGGTGGTGCTCCTACCTGGCCTGAGCACTGTCAAAATCGGAAGCTAAGGTTGTTGAACCAAGCCTGGGTTGGAGGGAAGTCCTGGCATGGGAGAAGAATCATGGAGGAAAAACCAGGAGTGTTTCCTAGTTACGTGTGAGTCAGGGGAGTGGGGAGGCAGAAGTATTAACCTACAGAGATTTAACGAATTGACTCAGTAGATAGATTCTAAAGATGGTGGTTCTCAAAAGCACAATGGCACCCAACCCAGTCTTCTCTCATTACAACGAAGACATAGCTGTTGGACGGGTCCCCAAAGAAAGCAGAGCTTCCCTGTTGAAGACTTCTATCCCTCCGTGGCTCACTTCAGGGTTGCGGCCACACCACTGCGGTCCTGGCTGTCTTGCCTCTTTGGATGGTGTGGAAGGGGTCAAAGGGCCCGTACCGAGGGCAGGTCTGGCAAACCACACCCCAGCCCGAGTCCTTGTCACGGAGCCGTCCGCCCCACGCTTGTGTGGGTTTGTCGGAGCAGGAATGGACATGCTGGCTGTTGCTCGCAGGCTCAAGGTTGGGAGGGTTGGCCTTCCTGACCTTGTCCAGTCTGGGCCGCTGCTTCCACTGCCAAAGCCCGTAGATGGGTCAGGGGACCAGTAGTCCTATGCCCGGGGCCACTCCCATCCCACCTCTACGTAAGGCTCCTCACTTGTTTGTTTTTCTCCCTTTTCCTTGTCCAGCTCCTTCTGCTCCGGTGATAAACCCACAGGCCCCCAACTCTGCCACAGGGTCCTCCGTCCGAGTGTGCTGGAGCCTATATTCTGATGACACCGTGGAGAGCTATCAGCTGTCCTACCGGCCAGTGCAGGACAGCTCGCCTGGGAAGGACCAAGCAGGTGAGGCTCTGCCAAGAACACACTCATGTTCTGCAATGGCTAAGGGCCCTCAGAGGCCAGGGCCCTGCCTTCCTAGCGATCAGAAGGACGGAGGTGAGATGAATCTGTGCATCCAGCTCCTTGGAGCTGTCATGATCTAGAAACTGCCCAGAGGACGGGATGCAGACAGGTGAGCATGGCAGAAAGGGTGAGAAAAGCAGGTTCTCTGGGGAGAGTCACAAGGCCAGGCTAAGGTGTCTGGAATGTAGATAGAGCTGTCAGGTCGGAGTTGCCCTTGGGATGAGTCCCTGGCTGCACCGTGTGCAGGAAGGGTGGGGCCACCCCTCCTTGAGGAGGCCCAGCTGGGCTGTCTGGGTTCAAAGGGGCCTAGCATGTGAGGGGAGGGTAGGCTGGCTCTTCTCAGAGCAACCCTGTGTTGGTAGAGACCGGAAGGGTAGCCCACAGACCCTCATGAGGGGTGAGCGGGGCCTCTGCAGCTTGGACAGGCCACTGCTGCTCAGACCCATGTTCCCAGGCTAAGCAAGCTCCTGGGAATGGACCCTAGCCTCACTGTGGGCAGCCCATCCTCTTCCCAGGGAAATGGAGCTGGCTGGTGTGGGGCTAGGCCTGGGGTAGCTGCCTCCCCCCACCCCACGTAACAGATAAGCCATTTACCTGTTGAGAAGAGCAGATCAGACAGTAGAGGAGCCCCAGCTGAGCCCCTGGAGGAATCGGGGGACCAAGGCTAGCCAGCAGGGCCTGTCCTGTGTGCACGGAAGCAGAGCGAGGTTGGGGGAGAGGGCCTTGGGGATTTCCACTTTATGGACGCAGAGACTGAGACCCAGGGGGGAAATGAGCTGTCCGTGGGGGTACACTGGGTGATGGCAGAACCAGGGCAAGAGTCAAGTCTGCAGGCTCCCTGCCCAGAGCTCTGCTCCTTGTACCAGGCCGGGCAGGTGGAAGGTTCTAGGTGCCGAAAGTGGGGATGGTTTTTCTGACCAGGGACCAGGAAGCAAGGGGATGTTTTTTTAAAATTTAAATTCAATTAATTAACATATAGCATATTATTAGTTTCAGAGGCAGAATTCAGTGTTTGATCAGTTGCATATAACACCCAGTGCTCATTCCATCACGGGCCCTCCTTAACGCCCATCCCCCAGTGACCCCATCCCCCCACCCACCTCCCCTCCAGCGACCCTCAGTTTGTTTCTTAGAGTTAAGAGTCTCTTATGGTTTGTGTCCATCTCTAATTTTGTCTTATTTTTCCCTCCCTGTGACCCTCTGTTTTGTTTCTTAAATTCCACATAAAAGTGAGATCGTATGATAATTGTCTTTCTCTGATTGACTTATTTCACTTAGCATCATACCAGGAAGGGGAATTCTTAAGAAAAGTAAGTTTAAGTGATGCTGAGGGAGGTCAGAATAAGGTGAGCAGATGGTGAGGGTGGTCTGAGCAAAGACTTAAGAGCGCACAGTGGGAGAGGAAGGAGGAAGGCTTCAGAAGGGAGGTCTGGGACCAGGAAGCCAGACCTGACTAAGCCCAGCTCTCGTCATGAATCCAGTCTGTTGATACCCTCTGCATATGCACAGAAGAAGCCAGTGTGTGGGGGCTGTTCCTGGCAATCTGTGAAGATTTTTTAAATGGACCACTTTGTGATAAAGGAACTGATATCAGAGGGTAGATTCATGAGTTTTCACTGCCTTCCAAGAGTCTGGGGAGGTTTGGAGGTGTATCAGTTAGCTTTTGCCGTGTAACAATACCCTACCCCACCCTACTCCACACATATATACACAACTTGTCGCTTAAAATGACAAACATTTATTATTTCTTATAATTCTATGAGTTGGCTGGATATTCTTCCGGTCTGGGCCAGCTAGGGTAGGGCTGGATGGTCTGGGATGGCCTCCCTTACAGATCTGGGGACATGGCTATGACGGATGGGATGACTTGGACGGCACCTGGTCTCATTGTCCAGGAGGCTGGGTCGGGCTTGTTCACACGGAAACAGATGTGTTCCCAGCAGCAAGAAGACAAGCATCTGTGCGCCGGCATTTCCCGAGCCTCTGCCACCATCTTGCTTGCTGCTCTCCCATTGGCCACGGCAAGTCCCACGGCTGAGCCCATCAGGGGATGGCAGGAAAAACCGAACCACATTGCGGAGGAGTGCCCCTACAGGGATGGGAGGAATCTGTGGCCGGTTTTGTAATCTACTACAGGGAGACTCAGCACAACTAATTTGGAGCTACTTGGCCTATTTTTAGGGTTGAATTCTTGTCTTTTTTTTTTCTTTCAGAGTTTACAGTGACTGTCAAAGAAACCTACTGCTCAGTGACAAATCTTGTGCCAAATACCCAGTATGAATTTTGGGTCACAGCTCAGAACAGGGCTGGCACCAGCCCCGCCAGTGAGCGTGCAGTGTACATGACAGGTAATGGGGCCCACTTGTGTCTGGAGCAGGACCTTCACCCCAGGGGATGCAGGAGTCACGGCTTTCTAGATGTGGCAGGACCGTCAATTTCATTTGGCAGGGCAGGAAAAGCTGTATATTCTTCTTTCACTGAATGCACCAAATCTGAATTCCTAGAAAGGAAGGGACATTTGCTCAGAGTTGGTCTCAGAATACCAAAAAGCCTGCTCACAATCACACTGCTGTAGCACTTCTCAACCCCCTTCTGCTCCGGGAGCGTGGGAAAGGGATGCCCCGTGTCTTGGTCCATCTGGGTGGCCGTAACAGAACAGCCCAGACCGAGGGAGTCATAAACGACAGACATTTATTGCTCACGGTTGTGGAGGCTGGAGGGTCCAAGATCACAGTGCCAGTATATTCAGTGTCTGGTGAGAAGCCTTCCTGGTTCAGCACGCCGGGCTCTGTTCCGGCTGAGTCCTCACACAGCAGAAAGGGGCTAGAGAGCTCTTTGGGTTCTCTTTTATAAGAGACGTGCTCCTTCTCATCTCCCAGAGACCCCACAGACCATCACATTGGGGAATAGGTTTCAACACATGAATTCGGCTGGGGGGAGGGTTGTCGGGGGGACACAGGTACTCCATCTGTTGCACCTGGTTTGCTTTTTCTTGCACCAAATCTCTTTTGTGCAAGGACAGTGCTTGTGCTGTCTGGCCAGGCTCCGGGCACACTGGCTGGGTATGAGCAGGATGGCTGTTCACCTCTCCCTTTGTCCTGCACCCAGCACCTTCCCCTCCCATCATAAAAAGCAAAGAGATACGGAGCTGCGAAGAGGCTGCGCTCATCTGCTGGGAGTCTGGAAACCTGAATCCCGTGGACTCGTACACGGTGGAGCTGACCCAGGCGGAAACACCTGAAGCATCGGGCGTAACCGAGTGAGTCCCGGGGCTGTTTGCTGGGCACAAGAGGCCTTGATGCCTGACACGGTGACACAGCTCAAGAAATGCATGGGGTCCAGAGGGAAAGTCAGAGTTTGGGACACATGGGAACCTTAATTTGGGGCTACTTTGTTTTCATGAGAAGTTGCTGGAATGGTATTACTGAAAGCGCATGATGAGTGAATAAATGGTTTAAACCTCGGGTTGGCTTTCTCAGCCCGACAACGGTTTACCGTTCATTCATTCAGCAAGTATTGCGGGCCTCAATGGTGCCGAGTCCTGTGCCTAGGCTCTGGGAGACTAGACAGAAAAATTTCCTCCCCTACGGAGCTGACTGGCAAGTGGGGGCAAACAGAAAACAAGAAAACAAAGGCATAAGGTGCTGGAGGAACTGAGAGACCCACCTGGCTGGAATTGAAAGGGGAGGGAGAGCATCATGAGGCAAAACAAAAGAGGTTAGAGTTCCACGCTCAAAGAACTTTGTGTCCGTGGTGGGAGGCTGCCTGGAGGCTCACGCCCACGCCTGGCTGGCGGAGCTGAAGGTGTTCACAAGTGCACGAGGCTGGGGTCAGCTGCCTCAGGGGCCCGCAGGTCCCACGAGTGTGTAGCTGTGTGCAGTGGAGGACACGTGGGTACACCTCTGGTCTACAACTAGGCAGTCCCAGAGTTTACAGAAGAGGGATGAACCAGCCAGGCAGCCCAGGACAGCCAGCACGTCCAGGGGATGCCCAGCTGTGGAGCACAGAGTGCATCCACCTGGCTCTGGAGAAATGGAAGAGGCAGGGGCTGGTGTCAACTCTTAGGGAAGACGGGTTCCTCTCTGCTGAATGCCGGGGTGGAGCCTGGCCATCTGTCCCACACACCCTCTGTTCAGGTAGAATCCATGTGTCCACAGCCGTATCAGGGCTGACCTTGGTTATTCTAGAAATACTCAGGAGTGGGGCAGGGGTGGTCTGACGGCTCTGGCCACCTGAATGATCCAGATTTCCTTTGCAATTTGTGCTGATACCTTAGGAGCACCTGACATCTAGCACCAGCCCACAACGATGGGTGGTCGGTGACGTGGGTGATCTGGGGTAGCACCCGCTCTCCTAAGTACCAGTCTAATCATCTTGAAGAAAAGACAAAATCCCTCACACACTAGTCCTTTCCTGCTAGCTCATCCCATACCAGCTTCTCTTCCCTGTCTGGCTCCAGCCAAACTGTCACATTTTAGTTCTCCTATTTCCCGCCACATGCCTGTTCTACGGAGGACACTCCTGCCCCGTTTCGTCCAGTGACTTCCAAGTCATTCTTCAGAGCTCAGCTCAAAAGTCCCCTCTGCAGCATCAGGCACTCTGTAGTACACCGTCACCATGTCATGGTCACCATCTCACATTTCCTCCAGTGGTGGCTTGAGGAGTGCCTCGCTACCCATCCAGACTGTGAGCGCTGTGAGGCCAGGGACTACATTAGTTTTCCCCAGAGCCTCCGTCTACAGTGACCCGGAACCTAAGGTGCCTGGTTAATATTTATGGAAGGATGTGGGAATGTGCCCCTCTGGCCTGAAGCTGCAGCCTTCAGGACCACCTGGACACCCAGGCCTCATCAGGTGAGGGTGTGGTATCCGGAAACGGGCATCACCCCGAAGGCTTCTCTTTTCCCCTGGGCTGAAATGGGTTTAGCGGTTGCAGGACTAGATAACGGGAGTTATGAGCCTGTATTCATGTCCAGTAGAATTTAAATAAATTGGGTTTTTCCCAGGCGGCTTCTGTTTGTCCATCAACACAGACGGAGGCCTGCTAGGGGCCCAGCGCTGGGCTCAGGTAGGTGGTCCTCTGTCCCGGACAGCCAGCAGCGGGCGCACCGCTTCCCACTGCATGCGTACCTCCACTGACACAGCATTAGACGCCAGGCATGGGGCTAGGTGCCCAGGCCCCCAGGGTGGGGATCCCGGAGGGAAGAGGGCCACACACACCAGGAGTCACAAAGGAACGAGGAAAGTGGACTGTGGGAGGACACGCTCCTGGCTGTGCCGCTGTTGGTCGGAGGACGGGGGTGTGAGGCTGGGTTTAAATTCCCAGCTTTGAAGGGGAGGCCTGGTGCCAGGGCCTGGCCGCCCGGCCCCACCGCACGGTGACCGCCGCTCTGCTTCTTTGTGCAGGTCGGTTGTGGGCATCCCATCCTGTGAGTCCCTGGTGCAGCTGCAGCCCAGGCAGACCTACACAATCTACGTACGAGCCCTCAACGTGGGGGGCCCCAGTGCAAGGAGCGAGCCCGTGACAGTGCACACCACAGGTAAGTGCCCGGGCCACACACTCCCGGAGACCTAAGGGACCAGAGCTGCATGACTTCGCTGGAAAATATGGCAAGTCAGGCCAGGAAGGTGTTCGGGGATGTCAAGGCCCTGGGGTCCCATTTTATAGACAGGGGACTGGAGGCCCAAGTCATAGAGCAGTTTGGTGGCGACCCAGGGGTCTTTCTCCATGCCCTCAGGTCGGCTAGAGGCTTGTCACCCCGGACCTGGGTGGCCCAGACACCTCACCGCTCACGCAGGCCACACACCACCCTGGGGATGGCATCGTTATTCCCAGCAGGGGCTTTTGGCCTTGGCGGGTCTCCTGTTTCTGCTGTCAGCCCCAGAATCTCCCACCCACCCACAGGCCCAGCTTGGACCTGGCTGCTCAGCCTCTTGCTAGGCCCTGTCTGGCCCCTGGTGGGTGCCGCAACCCCCAAGCCCAGCCCCATCCCCTTCTCACTTGCTGTCCTTCTGTCACACGAGCCCAGATCTTGGGCGAGCAGAGACGTCGCTAGCAACACCCCCCAACTCTGCTTTCCCAGCACTGCTTAGCTGCGGGCTCTGAGCTTTGTCGCCGTGCCCTGGGGTCCAGCGGCTCTTCGATCCCTCACAGAGCCGGTCCCGCTCAGGCTGGCCGACGGGGCAGCAGGCAGGTAGGAAGCAGAAGCAGAGGGGCGCCTGGGTGGCTCAGTCGGTTAAGCGACTGCCTTCGGCTCAGGTCATGGTCCTGGAGTCCCGGGATCAAGTCCCACATCGGGCTCGCTGCTCGGCGGGGAGTCTGCTTCTCCCTCTGACCCACTTCCCTCTTGTGCTCTCTGTCTCTCATTCTCTCTCTCTCAAATAAATAAATAAAATCTTAAAAAAAAAAAAAAAAAGAAGCAGAAACAGGGAGCCGGAGCCCGGGCTCTGACTGGGGTCGTTGCCTGAGGGACGTTGTGTCATTCTGTCCTCCTTTCCAATGCCAGGAGAGCTGTGTGATTAATTCTCGCCCTGTTTCTTCCACACAGATGGGGAAAACCAGCTGAGGGGCCACGGAAAGCCCCAGAGCTGGTGCGGGCTCATGCTGGGATTAGGACTCAGGTTTTTCTGTTCTGTTGGCCCCGGGCCTGCCTTTACTTGGCTGGTCTTCCTCGTTTTCTGTGCCAACCTGGTGTTTTGAAATGTCAAATTCAGGCTGTTTCAGTGAGAGAGAACAGAGCAAAAGGTACAGCCAGCCCTTGATTATTCAGTCATTTCTGACTTAGTTTGTTCATATACATTTTTTTAAGAGTGTATTTATGAAAGGGGCACCTGGGCGACTCAGTTGGTTAAGCATCTGACTCTTGATCTCAGCTCAGATGTTGAGCTGAGGGTCCTGAGCTGAGATGGTGACGCCCGAACCCAGGTTTGAGATGAAGAGAAGTAACAGGATAGGAGCTTGAGAAAAACAGAACTTGGCTATAAGACACAGGAGTGGAGAATGAGTCATTGTGCTCTCAAATGACAGATTTTTTTTTTTTACTAAATAATTTGTTCTTCAATCTATTCCGTACCACTTTGTGATGAGCTTTGTTTTAACCATGATTTGGGGAGGGCTGTCATCTTCCCTCTCCCCCATGGCCCTAATTGAAATGTTAAATTTCACTTCCCTTTGTCAGATGGATCAGTAAGAATCCCCTCAATTCCTGTTTCCCCTGGCAGGTGGGTTAGAGGTTCCTGTCCGCATGCCGGCGTTTACAGCCTCCCGGTTCAGAGAGCAAAGCCTCTGGAATCAGAGGGGCTTGGGGGTTCAGATTTGAGTTCTGTCATTTGTCGGTTGATTTTTTTTAACCACCCGTGCCTCAGTGTTCTCCGCTACAAGGGAAAATAATAACAGCTGTTTCTAAGGGTAATTGGTGAAGACTGAATGAGCGAAGACTTGCAAACTGCTCCTGGGAGCTAGGCACAGGGACCCTGGTGCGGGGTAACTGCCCCCCCACCCCCGTCGTTAGGAACAGGAGAGGCAGGACCCCACGAGGCCCAGGCTGCCGAGAGGAGGGGGCAGCAGTGATGGGCTGTTTCCACCTTCGCAGGCAGCTGCTTTCCCCTGAACCAGCACACCTGCCCTCCCTGGCTGACCATTTCTGAAGACGGGTTTACGGTCATGCGAAGCGAAAGGAAAACCCCCGCGAAGGAGCTGCTCCCTGGCAGCACCCAGTTTACCAGGTACTTTTTATCAGCCTCTCACTGGAACATTCTGTGAACCTCCCTAATGCTCGCTGTTGTGCAGGTGAAAGTGGGTGATGACAGATGCCGTCTTGAAGAGGGAAAGAGGTCCCAGAAATGGATGAGGGCCGAGGGGCCTGGTGGGGAAGGGAGGCTGGGGAGGTGGAGGGAAAGGGTCTGGCTGGTGCGGGCTGAAGACACATGTGGCCGCGGAGGTCGGGTCTCGGGCGGGAGGAGTCGGACCACGAAGCCAGGCCGGGGGTCACGCCAGCAGGCAGCAGGAGAGCTGGACGGGGACAGGATGGAGGCGTCCCGGGGCTGGGCCCCGCACCCCCTCTCCTGCACCGCGAAACCTTATTTTAAAACTCCTGATGAAAACCCACGATGGAGCCTGAGCCACAGTCGGCGGGGAAGATGGGGGTTGCGTCAGTGCCTGAGCTGAGGGGGGGGGTCTCCCAAAGGTGGGCGCCGTCTGTCTACCTCTGTCGCTGTTTCCAGACCTTGGCACTCCATTCACGTTGAAACCATTTCTTTATGCCTTCCTTCTTTCCCAATACTTAAAGCAGGCTTGAACTCAGGAGCAAATACACACTACTGAAACAGAAAAGTCAAAGCAATGGGAGAGAAAGAACAGATAGGTTACGTTTTAGAGCGAATTCCATTTCCAGGATTACACTGAAGGGTGGCTCTCAGCTTCCCGGCAGTCAGGAAAAGAAGAGGTGGAGGTGGGTTAGATTTAGAGTCGGGAGGATCTGCTAAGGAGGAAGAGGGGCTCTCCTATGGGGGCCGCAAGGGCCACTGACGCAAACAGTATCCAGCCTCCCTGCCGGGGTCCTCAACTCTCCCGGGGCTGGCTCCTCCTCTGATGTTGGCTTCCTGCTGGCGTATCTACTGTGTGTGTATTAAGCACCTACTGTATGTGTTAGCGTGCACAGGGTACAACGGAAAACGACTTTATCCTTGCCCACCTCTGCCCGGGCAGCCCAGGGTTGGGGGGCATGGAGAGGGGTAGGAAGTGATAAAGGTCTTACCTGTGTTTTAAAAAAAAAATTCAACGGAGTAGATTTTAAAGATCGTATCGGCTTTATTCACTGATGTACGAACTGGGCAGGAGCTCCAGGGAACTGTAGAAGATGAAGGACTTCCATGGGCCGAGTGAGCAGGAGCAAGGACGTTACAGTAGGCAGCAGGTGGTTGTGACAGGCTAGATTCCTTCAGGGGACAGCGGGGTCTCTCAAGCACGTCACCCCACTAGTGCTCATCAGGCGATGACTGGTTGACCAGTTTAAGATTCCAGATCTGAGAGAACTGTCACTGTAACTGGGTTGTCTCGGTTTGGTGACATGGGGCTTAGCATGATGGACTCCATTCTGGGCCTGTTGTCCTGTTTTCAACCCGTTTGGTACCTGGCTGGTACCAGTGTGATGTGTCTCTCTCAGGCAGTTCCCAGGTAGGCCCCTCCCCGTGGCGGCCCCTCCCAACCCACCAACCCCAGCACCCAGTTATACAGCTCGAGGTCTGCCGAGGTCTCCTGGGCCCTCCTAGGAAGTTCTCTTGGACAGGATCCTCTCAAGAACAAAACGAAGACAGCTTTCATGCAGTGGATTCCATTCACACCAGGTCCCCTGAACGCACCCACCTCTGACCAGGCCGGTGCTCCCTCACTCTGTGTGAACCACAGGAAAACTCCCTGCCAGCAGACAGAGCCTCAAGCATCTCCAGCTCCAGCCCTTTGGTGTTGCACTCAAAGTTGCAAACAGTTTTTGGCCACTGAGTCCTGCATAGGTGGTCTAGCACCTCACCTGGAAATACGGGAGAGCTCCCCATCTAGTGTTCTGTTTGTGGCTTTTTGGGGCCCAGCCAGGCTGAGTTAGTCCCATTTCAGTGTCGTTACCAGTCTATCTGTTGCCCTGTGAAACACCATACTGGGTGCTGGGGGTAAGAGACAAAGATACTGTCCCTGCCCACCTGACTCCGACTGGCAAGTCGGGTTGATGCAGATGTCAAAGACACACCTCTGAAATAAGTTTTTAGAAGTATGGACAAGCATTGTAGGAGCCCCAAGGAGGAAGGCTTCCTGCAGGGGCAAGGGCTGGAAGGATAAATGGGAATCCTCCAGGCCGACGGCCAATTGAGTGCCTTCTGCCTGTACACACAGCGAAAGTCAGAGAGGCCGTCTGTTTGGAGAACCACGAGCAGTTGTATCAGGGGTGTAGGGTCCATAACGGGAGGAGGCAGGAGATGAGGCAGGAGATGGACTCATTCTAGTGCAAAACAGGTCTGGATCTTACCCTTCCGGTTGTGGAGAATTTAAGTAGAGTAAGTGACAGGGTCAGATTTACATTCCAAAAGGATCACACTGGCCAAGAAGTGTGAGCTAGGGAAGTGTGTGTGTTGTGGGGGGCCGGCGGGGGGGGCAAGGAGACCAGAGGAGAGCGGCCAACTGGTTAAGGGGCGGGCAGGGGCAGGACGGGTCAGGGGCTGTAATTCTATGGAGTGCTGATCAAGTGCCAGACACGTTCCAAGTGCTTTACGTGGATGATCTCATTGAATCATCACAATAGCCTGTGAGGGCCAAACCATCATCAGTCCAATTTGACAAATGAGAAAATTGAGGCACAGAGAAGGAAAGGAATTTGCCCACCAGCACACTGCTAGTAAGGGTTGGGGTCAGAATTCAACTAGAAGCTGAGCTTGTAACCACTACATTATTCCTGTCTTAGTTTGCTGCCTTGGGTTATTAGGTAGACAGTTAAGTCTGTTAATGGAAATGGAGAAAAAATGAGGGGCAAATACCCCTCCCCACCACAAGCAAAACACACAGTTTGGTCGGCGGGAGAGGTAGGAAGGTGTAAGTTCTGTTTGGGACATTCTGAATGAGAGACAGCAGGTGGGTGGACATGTGGGTCTGGAGCTTGGAGTAGAGATGGCTTCGTTTTACAGAGAAGGAGTGACTTCATGTGCAGTCTGCTTCCCAAAGCTTTGCGTGGCCTTCAGAACTCGGGGTGTGAGAACATGAGGGTGATCTGGCTGTGACATCTGTCACCCCATGGATCGCCAGGGTTGATGTGGCTGATCTGGCTGGCTAGGCAGGGGTCCCCTTCCTCCCTCACCGCTCCATGCACGTCCCTCCCAAAGCTGCACACTGGGTCGAAGAGGACGACCTTCCCGGATAGAGGAGGACCGTTCTTAGGTCAAGGGTATAGGAGTAGCTGCGCTCCCCTCTAGAACCTCCAAACAAGCTCTGAAGGTCCATTTGTAGGAGAACATATGTAGTCAAGCTTCCAAGACTCCAGACATATCCACATCCATTCCTGCATGTGGCCGTCTGCCTTTAAACAAAGAAATAAACACATAAATAAATAAATGAGAACTTGGGGTTTGAGAGTAGAGATCATGTGTTAATGACAGCTAAACAAATCTGCCCCAGGGATTTGGGGAGCCACCTTGAATTTGGCTAATGTAGGAATTTCCTGCCGGAGGTAGAATATTCATTTTGGAGATACTGATGTGGTCCCAATTTCCAACAAGAACCTTTCTCTGGAGAATGCTGCATTGTTGTAAAACAAAATGTAACTCTGACCTTTGTAAGTGTAATTGTTCCTGGCGGCATCTTGGAGGTAGAGTCTGATCATCTGTAAGGAATTTGCTCTTCGCTCTTCTTGGGTCTGCGCCTGTGATGCGACTCCCCGGCTGCTGCTTGTGGGCCGCCCCATGGTGGGCATCACCTCGAAGACCCTTGACCTGGTTCGGAACCTCGAGCACATGGTTCTCCCGATGATGTTGAGTTCCGTGAGGTTTCAGTCCCTTTCTTTTTTTTTATCGACAAGTGAACCAAACCTTTGTTACTCAAAAGGCCAATCATTTAAAAACGCAAACAGAGCCTTTTCTACCGGCAGGGTAACAATTCTCTTGTGATTTCAGCATCGGTCAGGCGGGCTTTGTGAGCCGAGGGCTGCCGCTTCACGAGGGAGGCGGTCGGAAACCCTCCCTCCATATTTATCGGCCCCCTGCTGACCAGCCCCAACAGCTGGTGTCACTCAGTGTCACAGCCAGGCTGGCATCACCCCCAAATCACACATACTCCCTCTTTCTAAACCCAGGTGTGTTGCCGTCATGGGGAATCTAATTCCAATCCGAGGGCGCCACTACTGGGAGGTGGAGGTGGACGAGCGTGCCGACTACACGGTGGGTGTGGCCTTTGAAGATGTCCCTAAACAGGAGGACCTGGGAGCAAACTGCCTATCTTGGTGCATGAGGCACAGATTTGCATCATCGAGGTAAAGTAACATCCAGACAGCCAGCGTTAAAATTTGCTTTGAAAGAAGAGAGCAGGAGGTTTCGCTAGCAATAATTAAGGCCTACAGTATGTCTTAGGAAGTATTTTAGGGTATTTCAGGGCTCTTTTCTAGCCCTTTTCCCTAAAGTCCAGATGAGGAGAAACAGTAGCTTTGGGATAAAAATAGCTAAACTTCACAAAGAGCTTGTTCTGCACCAAGCACTGTTCCACACTCTTAGATGTACTATCCCACTTACTCCTCACAATTCTATTATACCATTTTAAAAATAAGAAAGCTATGCCTCACAGCAGTTGGATAATCCATCCAACATGGGTTTTTAGAGCTTGGAATCAAATCCAGGCAGTCTGGCTCCAAAGACTGCATTCTTCACCACTAAGTGATTGGTTTTTCGTGTTCAACTTGTGTTATTAAATGGATGCAGTTTGGTTTGAAGCCCTAATTACGTCTCTGTAAGTAGGCAGAGGCTTAACAGTTATGGCTCACTCTGGTTTGCTTCTGCTGCTAAGCACTCTATCCTCTACGCATGGACTAGTTCTAAAAAGCTGGGAAAATCCCATGAGGCCCCCAGGCCAGTGGACATTGTCAGATTTGGAAAGCGATTGTTGCAACCTCCCTTCACTTCAAAAATTGTAAAACTTCACACCATTTTGGGCGCCTGGGTGGCTCAGTTGGTTAAGTGACTGCCTTCGGCTCAGGTCATGATCCTGGAGTCCCGGGATCGAGCCCCACATCAGGCTCCCTGCTCGGTGCGGGGGTCTGCTTCTCCCTCTGACCCTCTTCCCTCTCGTGCTATCTCTCATTCTTTCTCTCTCAAATAAATACATAAAAAAAATCTTTAAAAAAAAAACAAAAAAAAACTTCACACCATTTTCCCAGCACCTCTTGTACTCTGGGGCCTCTGACCCTCACTGGCTTGCTGAATCCTATTAATGTTTGATCCAATGTTCTCTGCTCGGGAGCCTCTGTCATGGTTAAACACTATCTGTCATGCCCACATGTATGTGGGAAGACCAGCTTTCCCCCTGTAAGATACTTGGACTAGAACTGACTCTACCAAACCTCAGACCCAGTTTGAGGAATACAAGAAATACTGGGCACTGAGCCAGATAGTTTATGTGGTTTCTGCCTGAAGACAGACTAAAAATCAGTGTCCTCTCCTAGAAAGGTAGAAACGAAGGGCAGAGAAAGAGGAGAATGAAGGAGGAGTAGGGGGTCTGTGGGAGGTCAGCAGACAAACAGCATGAAAAAGGCAGGCCAGAAGCCAGGAACCAGGGCTAGAGCAGTCTCGTGCAGTCCCATCTTGGAAGGATGTGTGAGCGAGAGACAGAGTTAGGAGTGGAGGACGAGGGTTGGGTACCCTAGCTGACTCACGTTTCTTGCTTTAGTCTTGCCTCCTCTGCTGTGGTGGGAGGAAGGTGGAGGAAATGTAAGTTTCTGGGGGCTGCTTAGCTAGGAAAAGGAGCTGAGGGGAAGACGAGGTGAGACGGGCTGGCTTTCTTCCACACTCGGGGACTATTCCAAGTGCTCCTCCCGGGTGCGCAGACCAGCGTGTGGGCACTGAGCTCTGCAAATGTCTGGGTAGCAGGGGGAGGAAGTCCCTGTGGCTGGTTTTGGTTCCAGCCATTTTTCAAAGCACACAAGCTACAGAGCATGGCGAGAGGGTGCTGGGCTTACACTGCAGTGAACGGTGACAGGCTCCCGGGTGGCCCTGCTAAGGCTGAAGGTTTAAGAATTGTGCCTGAGTACTCGTGCACAGTACTCTCCCAAAAGGCCCATTTTATTACATGAAACATCACGAGGCTGCCTGTTTCAAATGTCTTTGTAATCAAAGGCTTTATACGTCTGATCCTTAAAATCCAAAGTTTTAAAACATCTATTTCTACACAAATTTTGATGCAATAGTTTATATTACTGTATTTAAGTTTTTTAGGTTAAGAGATTGCTCAAAAACAAATGGAGTTTAAAAATATGTCTCTTAGGACAAATTTTAGAAAAGAGACATATAATTTTGGAAATGGCCTGTTTTGGTAGTTAATAAAAAAAAATAACACCATCATAGGAGTATTTGAATAAAATGAATATGAGATGTTCTGTAAATAACCCATCTACAGAATTTCTGAAGCTTTGCTGTATCAACATTTAATTTTCAGGCATAAGTATGAGTTCCTGCACAACGAGACGACTCCAGATATAAGAATAACAGTGTCCCCAAGGAAGATTGGTGTGCTATTAGACTATGAAAATTCAAAATTGTCATTTTTCAACGTGGACATTTCTCAGCACCTTTACACGTTCAGCTGTCAGCTCCACGGATTTGTGCATCCCTGTTTTTCTTTGGAAAAGCCTGGCTGTCTGAAGATACGGAACGGCATTGCAATGCCAAAGCACGTCTCTTTCTATTAGACCATTCCGATGCCCGGCTTCCTCTCTTCCGTACCCACTCCTGTAAGCCACTCACCTCTCAGCCGGCAGGGCTGGGCATTCAGGCACCATGCACCCGGCACAGTCCCGGTTCACGTTCACCTCTGGCCGACTGGCGTGCTGACGCTCGTTTCACCGGACCTGGAGTCTAGTCCTGCGCACTGCCGCCCGTGTGACGTTAGGTTAGTCATTACCGGGCCCGGCTGTCACGGGAGGGCTCGGCCAATGTGAACTCAGAGGTCTTTCAAGTGGTCAGACTGTACTGGTCTGTTGGTTTATAGGCAAAGTATCTGAATCTCCAAGGCCTGCAGAGCTCGGGCTGAGGGGCACAGGAAAGGAAGGGATGCTAAGTGACGTGTCGCCAGCAGCCCGGACAGACCTGAGAAGGCGAGGAGCCGTCCACAAAGAGAAGCAGGGAAGCCAAGGGCCTTGCCCTCTCCTGTTTTCCCAGCGGTTATTGGCACTGTGATGAGGGGATCCCCGGCTGAGCACTCTGTGACACCCCGTTCCCACGCCTAATTCCGTGAACGCAGGGACAGTGTCTGTCTTGTTCATCATCCAGCTGCTAAGGGCTAACACATAACGAACAGGTGGTACACAGCACATATAGAATAAATTAGTATCTTCTTCACCCCACCACTGCTCCTAGGCTCTCCCTGCTCTCGGGGTCAGGGATGGCAGGGCTCTTTCACAGCGCAGCAAAGGACGCGCAGCCAGGAGATGGAGACAGCGTGGAGGGGAGGCGGTATAAAGGCCCAGAAGGGCCCCTGCAGCTTGATGGCAAGACTGGGGAAATGGAGCCCTCCGCACTGCTGCACGCTTCGTGTCACACAGCAGCCTCCACATCAGTGTGGTACTTTAACTGCACCGGCGGTGGGGGCGGGGGGGGCGGGGAGCAGGGAATAAACCAGGAAAAAACAGACATTAGTGGCAGCTGATCCTAGAACAGTCCCATAAAGAAAATCAGATTTGAAATCAGAAGACCTACGCTTGATCACTACTCTGTAGCTGCTTTGCCTTCAACCCTAGAAAAGTCCCACTATCTTCAAGAGCTCCTGTATCCCTTAAACAAAGAAAAAATAGTACCCATTTCATAGGACTGGGAGATTTAACGATGAACGCGAGAGCAGCAAATGCACCGCAGTTTCTGAAAAGACACCAGCCCACCAAGACCCAAGCTGAGCACTGGTCTCCCCACCAGCAACTCCGGGACTTCCTGCCTGGATGCCCTTGCCCATCCTGCGACCACAGGATCCGGCCCCACCGGCTGCATTCTTGGTTCTCCAGGTGTCTGGTTGTCACTTAAAGCTCTGCACACAGCATCTTCTGGCGTGTAAGTTAAGATGCAAGATGCAGAGTCAATGACTCCATCTGCGAAGCAATTCTCAGAGACAATTTATTATTCTGCCCTGTGGATGCCTCTCTAAGCAGACATGATCCTCATCTCCTCACCTAAGGTTTTGGGTGAACTGAAAGCTCCGCAACTTGTTTTCCAGCACACTCAAAGTCTCACACGATGAACACCTCCTCTGTCTCCAAACTCTGCCTGTTGATATGAACAGCAGCTCAGATTCCTGAATTAACAACTCACCTTGACAGTCTTCCAGCTCCTTACACACACACACATGTGTGCGCATGCCTGTTCTGCCAAGCTGGATCACTGGCCTGAAATAGGAAGGTACAGCCAGTTTGAGCACAGACAGGGTTCATGTTATAGACAAAATAGACACATGTGTGTATTTGACACTGTTCAGCTACTGAGACAGAAACTGCCAGGTGGGAAGTAGAGCATCACAGATAAGGCAAGTCTGAATTCCGGATTCTAACAGGTTTTATGGAATATTTCACATGCAATACAAACATGGATAAAATGATAAAACTCAACACCTATAAGGTTTGAGTGAAATTTTTATTTGACCAAGAAAAAAACATCTACAATTGGCATCGACCATTGACATTTAAAATCCACTTAAAGCAGAAGACCAGCTTAAAGCATCACAATTATTCAGCATAAGGAACATTTGTTTAAACATATTTCTTCTACAAGAAGAAAAAATAAGTCTAGAACAGAACCAAACAAAACATTTTTTTCTGTAAAATATTCCAGTTCCTAAAATATCATGAATAGTCTGCTGAAACTACATTTCAGCAAGGGGCAGGATTTACCTCAAGGCCATGTTCACCTGCAACCTGCTGATAAATCTGTTAAAAAACAAAACAAAGAAAAAGATTTTTAAAAAGTCAGACGATTGTAGCCACAATCCCTGACTCAGTGCAGTTAAAACAGAACATGTCAGTCTGTTCTTTTCCTAGCTTCACCTGTCTCACTGTGTAACCCTTAAGCAAGTTACTAACATAAGCTTTGGCTTCCCTCAACAAAGGGGAGTGAGAATATGTAAAATAACCACAGAATCTGAGTGTAAACTAACATGGGCTTAGTAATTCAGAGTAGTCCAATGTGAAGGCACCCTGAGATGGGACTAGAAAGTTGGTGAAAGACTTGGGATATAAAATGACATTGGTTTCTGGTAAAATTAAATTGCCTTTTATTTGGAAACGTGTATGTTTGATAATTGACTTCCTGCTGGTTCAGACAATGATATGTAATCACTTATACACATTCAATAAAATATTTCAGAAGCACGTGCTTGGTGGTCAGTATGAAGCAGAGCGATTACATGGGCACCGAGGCCTTTTCCTCACTACTTCCCATCCTCCAGTATTTGTCAGAAGCAGAAGCTCACATGGCTCACACATTGGTAGCTGCCGGCAGCACAAGTCACAAGTCACTCTGCCACGGCATTCTGTAACTGAGACTGTGCTGGTCTCTGCCCAAGGAGGCTCAGCTCCCAGAAAACTTGCTGGACCCCCTGAAGGCTGCACCACGGGAGGTCCTGTCTTCCACTTTCCTAAACAACTTCTCCAATTTCTAGCCACCTTCCTATCAGTTAGTACAGTAAGAGTTTCGTGGGTCCACTACCTTCTCCCACCCTTTCTAATCTCTTAATTTACTATTCCTATTTTCCACAGTAAGACAACTCAAAGTGTGTACTTGCTGTTGGTAGATAAGTAGGTCTTGAATTTATTTTGCAAACAAGACCTGTTCTATCTACCTTTTCCTTTAGGAGAATAACAGCAGAGTCGGCTTGACTTCAAGGACTCTGTTTTCTTAGTCTCCAGAAGACCAAGTCCAGCTTTTGAAGCACTGTCCTCTAGGGTGTCAAGACACGAAAGGAATGGTAATTGGGCACTTTTAGGTAATTGTTTTAATAAAGTTTTCAGAGATTTTTCTTCACTGCAATCAATAGTTAAGGAATCTAAATGCAAAATGAGTCAATGATTTGGGAAGAAGACTCCAGCCAGTCAGCAAGTCTCCTAGAAGGCGCATGACAATGAGCTGGGTACGATGCCCCAAGGCAGTAGTTATTTTAGAGTAGCTACGGCACAGGTGCTATTTCTTGTCACATAGATCATGTCCTACTACTTCCCTGCTTGTTTTCTGCTACCCCCAACCCCAGGAAAAAATTAAGCCCCATTCACTGATTGATTGCTTTTTCTTCATTCTCCCAGACTTGGACAGTATCAGGTTTTTCTGCTCTACTTTCACCTTACTCAAATCCTGGTGGAATTAAACTATCTCTGATCTGAATGATGACAATTCAGCGACACAGCATGGAGCTCAAACAACATGCAGTCTTGTACACAGAGCCAATAAAAATGCTTTGTAGTAGGAACTCGGATTCTCATTTTGCTGTCTCCCCCATGCCCATTCCTAGGCCTAGATGGCTTAAGAGATGCCCTTAAATTCAAGAAGGGACTGGAGATAAGAATATAATCCATTCGCTAGGAAAGCACTCAATCAACAAAACTGAGGTTTCCCAGCTATGCATTTTAACAAAGCAGGAACTTAGTTTTTAGAGATGGATTTCCAGAGTCCATACACTGCTTCTTGGTAAACCTGTCATCTTTTTCTGCCGCTCAGAAACTTTCCTACCCTCTAACTTCTTTTATATCCCAAACACCCACCCAATGAAGGGGGAAACGGACAGGGAGAGAGAAGGAAAACAAGAGAAGTGCCTAAGGACAGACCTCTGAAGAAAGGTAGAAGATACCTGATAAACAAGCCCCAGATCCCTAGGCACCTGGAATGGACCTATCCTTCCTTATCCACCTAATGACTGTATAGCTCAAAGGTCACTTCCTGGAAGCACTTCCTAATACCTCCCTCTCCCAGGCTGAGTTCGGTGCCACACACTCACCTCTTTTGGAGTGGCACACAGCAACTACTGACCTGCGTCTGCACCTCTTGGCTGTATGCAAACCAGAGGCAGGAACTGCATCTCCTCATCTCTGAATATCACAATACAGAAGCAATGGCAGGCTGCTTTCCAAGAGCTCATTTACCTGAAAAGAGGTAAGGGACATCAAATTGTCTTCCAAATTAAATCTCTTCATCAGAAAACAAAGCACTTTTAAATTATGTGTTGAGTGAAGAGAGGGAGATAAAAAATAGAGTGTGATTCTTAGCCTTTCTGCTGTCCCAATACACCTGAAGGATGTACCACATAATCCCATTAGTGAGAGCCCCTTCTGACCTGGAAGGAGTGGGAAGGGACTTACCAGAATATGATGTGTGAGGAAGATGTTTAGAATGCTTCCTTCCTATCACTGCCAGAGATCTCTAACACTCACATTTAATATTTATTGCAGTTTTGACTATTCTTAAGAGAGCCCTTATTTTAAATGCTCTGAAACATCAATTCGGTTTGTATGTTTGGAGGCTGATGAGTGGAAGTGAAGGCCCTGACAGAGCCTGATCTGATAGCACACCACACCACGACTCTCTGCTGGTCTTGGAATCTAAGACTTTCATGGAGAAATGACATGCTGTAAAGTTAACAACAACCCCAGGGAAATATAAAGACCACAGGTGATACCTCCTCAAATGTCAAGTGTCTTTTAAAAATCATTTTATGGGAGAGACTTCCTCATTCCCCCAAAATTGTAGCCAAACTTACATTTCAGACATGGGGTGAAAATCCTACATATATGGAGGCATCTCTTATTCTTGAAATCTCATCCTTTCCTAAAAAGTGATGGAATTTTCAGATCCTAGGTTTCATTATTTTAAATTGGAAAACTCTGGGGACACCTGGGTGGCTCAGTCGGTTAAGGGCTCAGGTCATGATTTCCAGGTTGTGGGATCG